CTTTGGAAGTCAATAAAATATTATCTACTATTTGTAAAAATAAATAAAGATCTCTGGGCTCAAGAGATCTTTCCAATGTCTTTGTTTGTTTGTTTTTCTGAGAGGTTTTTGCTATAGGGTACATGCACTCACCGGAAAGACAGAGAGAGAAAGAGAGACAGAAAGCAAGAAATCACCCCCCAGGGGGGATGGCCACGTGCAATACCTTCTCCTCTCGGGATCTTGGGCACGCACGCACACATGCCTGGCTTGAGTTTAAGCCACCGGGTCCGGGACTCAAACTGCAGTCAACTACATGGGAGTCCAGTGACATAACTATTATACTAACTGTTGGTCCTGCTTTCAATGTTTAACATAAGTAAAAGACAAATGCTAATAAACTTGGTCTTATCTTTTTTTTTTTTTAAAGAGAGGTTTTTGTTATAGGGCACGTGTGCTCGCCAGAAAAACAGAGAGAAAGACAGACAGAAAGTGAGAAATCACCCCCCAGGGGGGACGGCCACACCGCAATCCCTTCTCCTCCATTCTCCTTTCGGGATCTTGGGCATGCACGCACACGCGCCCAGCATGAGTTTAAGCTACCGGGTCCAGGATTCGAACCACGGTCGACCACATGGGAGTCCAGCGACATAGTCATTACACTAACTGCTGGTCCCAGTCTTATCTATTTTTCATTTACAGTCTTAGATCAACAATAGTCTTTTCTGAATCTAACCACCCTTTCTACTACAAATGCCCTCCTCTTTAAGTCTCCTGTTTACATGCCCTTCTTATTCTCTGTCTACACTGCTGGTTCTTCTTCATCCTTCTAACTCCTAATCTGGATATTATCTTTGTCCTTAGAACACTGCAATTCCTTCTGTACATTTTTGTCTTCAGAAAATTTACCCATCTGCATGGTTTCAAATACTACTATTTTGTCTCTGCCTTCTTGCTTGTAACCTAATGAAAAAAGTCATGCCCTACCATAGCTCTGTGTCTGCATAAACCGTTCTGCAGACTAGGAATAAGTCCAGCCATAAATGAAAGATAAGGGGCAGGACATTAATTTCAGAAACCTGGGGACCAACAGACGGCATAATAGTTATGTAGCTGTCAGTTGTCCACTGCAGTTCAAGCCTCAGAATCAATGGCTTAAAACTCATGCCAGGCACGCGCATGTGCGTGTGCCGAGAGGAGAATGGAAGAGAAGGAATTACAGCATGGTCATTCCCCCGTGGGGTGATTTTGCTTTCTGTCTCTCTGTCTTGTTTCTCTGGTGAGCACCCGTGCCCTATAGCAAGTTTCTCTCAAAAAAAGTTACAAGTTGCATGTTTGTTTATTTTTTTGTTTGAAGTAAGTAATTTGCTAAGGAGACTGAACTAGTGAATAGGTAAGTTAAATATATTAGTTCAGTAACTATTAGAGAAAATATGAACTACTTAAGCAAAGTCTCAAGGAATTGTAATTCATTCAATAGTTGTAGACATCTGCCATGAAATAAAGGAGGAGATCTCTTCTACAAAGATTTGAGGAAAATAACTAAGGACAAAGATGCCTATAGGTTTGGGGGAGGGATAACATAGATATACGTGGTATTATACATCAACAGGAGTTGATAGCCTTTAGTTTTATTTGTAAAGTAGTAAACGGAGGGAACCAGCAGTTAGCGTAATGGCTATGTCGCTGGACTCCCACGTAGTTGACTGCGGTTCGCATCCCGGACCCAGTGGCTTAAAACTCACGCCGGGCGCGTGTGCATGCGTGCCCAAGATCCCGAGAGGAGAATGGAGGAGAAGGGATTGCGGCGTGACCATCCCCCCGGGGGGTGATTTCTCGCTTTCTGTCTCTATGTCTCTCTCTGTCTGGCGAGCGCATGCGCCCTATAGCAAAAAACCTCTCCCAAAAAAAAAAGAAGTAGTAAATGGAATGAGCTTGGTGGGGAAGATGGAGGGGTGAGGGAATTAAGGAGAAGAGTATAGATTTAAAAAAGCACTTTGGAGAATGGAAAAAGACATTGAATATGAACCACAGGCAACTTTGAGGACATAGTTAAGGGTGTAACAATGAATTTATAATGGTCCCAATTTGTTATGTTGTCCTAAACAGCCCTGGGGGTAGGCATGAGTTTTGCTAGGAAAAAGCAAGTAAGAAATATAAGACAATAAGAGTAAAGGGACACACGGGACACAATGGCTACATAGATTAATGGATAAGGTAGTAATCTCCTGGATTACAAAATAGGAGCATAATCTAATAGAATAAAAGGAGAGAGTCAAGGAACTTAAGCTCCGTGAAATGAAAAGACAGTTATCACAGGAGCAGGACAGTAAAAGATTTAAAGACTAGGAAATATGGTCATAGACTCTTTTTTTAAAAAAAGAATTATTTATTAAACTTTGTTATTATTATTATTTTTAAATTTGACCAGAGAGAGAGAAAGAGAAAGAGAAAGTGAGAAAGCAAGCTGCCAGGTCCAGGACTCGAACAGCAGTCAGCCATGTGGGAGTCCAGATCCCTTAACCACCATGCCACCTGCTGGCTCCAATATGGTTATAAATTCTTAAGTTAATATTTTAGAGGATGGTAATTCTGACTGATGGGTATGGCCATAAAAGTATATGCCCATCTCTCCCTCCTGAGAGGGGGTGATTTCTTACTTTCCCTCTCACTGTCTCTCTCTCCTGTGAGTGCACACCTAAGGCAAAAATCTCTTTTAAAAAAAAACATGAAACTTAAAGTATTAAAAATAATTTGTACATGCAGAGAAAAAAATGACTTTTTCAAAATACATAGGGGTAGGTGCCAAACTGATGTATTACACATTGTGCTTTCCATTTCTTGAAATTTTTTTCATTATTTTTACATTTAACAAAGGAAAAAATTAAAAAGAGGGTAAGAAACAATTCCTGTGGGATGATGTGAACCTGTAAAATGTTCCTGGGTTTCTTCTTTGCTTGCTTCTTTCTCCTTAACTTGTCTCCTGCCCCCAACATACACACACTTTCTGTAAAACTTTAATCTAGAAGGCAAAACCTCTCAACCATTATAAATCATGCAATTAAAGTTGATTACTTAGAAAGACAAACTTTGGATCACTATATAGACTGTTAAATTTGATTCCTTACTACCTATTGCTAAATAAACTGTATGAGACCAAAAATAAAGAAGTCCATTTTTACAATAACATGTAGAAACACTAATTTGAAAGAACAATTGGTTCCTAAGAGATTGATCTCCTCTTTCAACAGCTCCTTAACTGACTCTCCTTACCTCGTTCCATCTCTCTTCTCCCACTTTGCCATAAAAGAATAAATGAATCTTGGGAACCAGCAGTTAGCGTAATGGCTATGTCGCTGGACTCCCACATAGTCGACCGCGGTTCGCGTCCCGGACCCGGTGGCTTAAAACTCACGCCGGGCGCGTGTGCGTGCGTGCCCAAGATCCCGAGAGGAGAATGGAGGAGAAGGGATTGTGGCGTGACCATCCCCCCTGGGGGGTGATTTCTCGCTTTCTATCTCTATGTCTCTCTCTGTCTGTCTGGCGAGCGCACGCGCCCTACAGTGAAAATCTCTCCAAAAAAAAAAAAAAAAAAAGAATAAATGAATCTTTATATTAAAGGGCTGCTAAGAAAAGACATATGAGCTAAATGCTTCCAGAAATTGTGAAGAAGCTAGGAAAAAAAATTGACATCTGAAAAAGAGACTAGTAAAGTCATGATGAAACTATTCCTCTTTTGACTAATCTACACTAGCATTTGGTTTATGATTAACCTGACCACAAGATTATGGTATTTCCAAAGTCTTTGCCAAAAGATGAGGGTATGTTCTTAATAATCATGGCTGATATTAAAGAAAATTAAAATCTTCTCTAACAATAATACATTAACAGCAGGAACATGATTTGCATATTACATATAAAAATAATGTTATATTTTTGGTATTAAATAAAATTATACAGTGAAATGTCTCATTTATCCATTACTGCTCAAGGCATAGGTACATTACATTCAAAAGGTATTCTGGTTATTAGATTATAAGTTCAACAATGTAACCAGGTTATATGTAAAGTTTTTCTAAAGATTACATACAATATCCCTCTGATCTAACTCACTTTGTTCTGATTCTGTACTAATAAAATAATTTAATTACCAACTAAGGGCCCAACCAAGTAGCATGGTGGTTATGGCAGCTGGATCCTACATGGCTGGCTGTGCAGTTCAAATACCAGGCCTAGCTTGGAAAACTCACTGGGTATATGTGCGTTCATGCACAAAATCCTGAGAGGAAATGGAAGAGAGGGGATTGTGGCATGTTCATCCCCCTTGGAGAATGCTTTCTCACTTTCTCTCCCTCTCTTTCCAGCGAGCACACACATCCTATAGCAAATTTTAAAACAAAAAGGAAAAAATTATCAATGAGGTTTCACAGAAATCTTGATGTTTTAGCCAGTGCTCTAGAGCAGAAATGCCAAAATTTTACATTATAAAGACATTCTCTTACAAATACATATTGCATACATTATAGTATACACCAATAAAAAAAAATTTTTTTTAATTAAGAAGGTCAGACATAAATAAATATAAGTTCTAATACTATCTTCTTACATTCCATCTTGTGGACTCCACTCTGGAGACCAGTGATCTACAGAAATAGATGTGAGTATACTAGAGTATGCAAAGGTATATAGCTAACGTAACTGATAAGCTAGAACTTTAATTTAGCTCTAGAATCAAATTTCTAACTCTTTGAAGCTTTAGAACAGGCCACAATGGAATTCTATCAAGATACTGTCTCATATCGAGACCGTGAAATCCTTGTAACTTCAAGACAATCTACGCAACGACTATGTAAACCTTGAGGTACCAGGTGTGGTCCTGTCTCAGCTACAGAAAGTTCCCTTAAGAACACTATAGCCAAAAAAAGGTCACAGTTTTTAAAATGTTGATCAGAAGTTTAAACAATGACATAGTAGAATTTCTCCTTCCCCAGCAGTGAAAATTATCTCTTGTGAGTACTCACCTGAATAAAATGTGTTAATTTTGGCAAGTTCTTTTTCACAGGTTTGGAAAAATTTTTCTTCAAACTTGGCAAAATACCTCTTTACTGTGTCCTCATCTGTAACTGTAAGGCAAGAAAAACAATATTTAAGTTTAATGTCTGAAGGCCAACTGAGCAAACTAGGCAACTAAAAATTAAAGTTAGTACTTTCTTAGTCTTCAAAATTACAACCATGTATGTATATTTCTCTGACAAAAATGAATTGTAAGCCATATTTTAAAAAAGGATCATAAAAGGTCTTTTCATAGGAACACAATCCTGTAACTGAATAAGACTTTCTAAATCTACCATAATAAGTTTATAATGTTGGAGAAAAGTGTTTGGAGACTTCTGCATCAGACACAGAAGAAATATATACTGATGTGTATAAATCAGATGTTCCAAATCTTCCAGAGCTGAGTAGGTAACACAAATAAGTTGAGCCAAGTGAACAATTATGCAAATATGGTGATAAATAACAATGGATACTTTCAGGGTAAGGAGTGGTACGGACTCTGACAAACTTGAAAGCACTTCTCCCCCCACTGCTGCTATGTGGTGATATGGGATCCAGCTTATTGGGTATTTCAATGTGTCAGGAAAGCCATAAACTCAAGATATTTACAAAACATTGTGTGGACCTATCAATAAGCATTTCTGCTGACTGGATCCACTTTGTGAATTCTGTCATATAGCATATCAATCTACTCAATTCCCTGAGTACATATAGCTTTAAGAATCCCAAGCCTAAAATAAAAGGTTATGTTTCTTGGCCAAGTGAGATATGACTAGACTTTCTGGGTTCTAATCCTAATTGTCATACCAGGTTTGAGTATGTCCTCCCAAAATTCATGTATTAAAATTTGGCAAGCCATTGTAGCAGTGTTTAGGGGAGAGATATAATCTGATTATGGTGCTGAAAGGTAAGAATTTTTTGAAGTATTTGGGCATCAGGTTGTGGTCCCTATGATGAGTCCTGGTGAGTTTATAAGGAGAGGAAATGAGGAAAGCAGACTTATGGTCTGCATCTGCTGTCTCACCTCCCACCATTATTACTCACCAGCAAGAGAAGCCTCATCAGATGTGGCCCCCTGACCTTGTGCCTCCAAAACCATGAGTTAATTAAAACTCTATTATCTTTTTTTTAAATACCTTGCCAGTGAGTGTGTGAGCTCACTGGAGAGAAGCAGAGAGAGGGAGGCGAGAAAGCACACCCATGGGAGACAGCCACACCACAGTCTCTTCTCCCACATTTCTCCTTCGAGATTCTGGGCACTCACACAGACATGACTGGCCTGTCTTTTAAGCCACCAGGTCCAGACTTGAATCACATAGCTGGCCAGATGGGATCCAGCAATCTTAATTGCCATATCAGACGCTGGCCCAACCTCTGTTATTTTAAACCATTCACATTCAAGTATTCTGTGTTATAAGCAACAAAATGGACTAGAACAATAATATGGAACTATCCTATTTCTGGATCTCTAGGATACTCTGAACTTAAAATACAAAGAAAAACAACAGGTTCCTTTGTGTCACCCAAGTGCCCCATATCTTAGCCCAATTCCAGAAAGCCTTAAATAATTCACAAGTCTAAGAATACAGGATATGGTATTTCCCTAAATAATATGCAAGCCCACACATATGTACATACAAATTCATAGTACCAGAAATATTTTAAAGAAAAACAAAGGCTTAAAATAAAGTTCTAAAAAGCATGTCAAATCTGTTCGTTTTATTTGAATACAAATGGAAAAAAATCACCACCACAGAAAACTGTTATACTTATTTATTTTATATGCTTTAGACCTTAGTAGATAATACAGCATATCCTTTTTGATTTTGCAGTAGAAAAGGGATGGCCACTTTAAATTCCTCAAACAAGCTCAGCAATTTAGGTATAATAATGGCTGTAGCTGCTCAAGGCCACAGAGAAATTATTTTTTCAAAGCATAAAGCAAGTTACAGCTTTGCTTTTTTTTCTTTTTTTCTTTTAAAGCTTACCTTGAGTTAAGAAAACTCCATGGTAACAGATGTTGTTCTGATCATAACATCTAGCTATTACTTATTATTCTACTTAATTACCTGCTTCTTAAAATTTTTTTTTTTAATAATAGTCTCTTTGTTAGGAAAGAAAACTCTAAAGCAAAACATGGGCTTGGTCATTATTTACTTTGCTCTCTTATTAACAGACATCCTTTTTCCATCAACATAAAGTGATAGAAAGTTGTTTAGCAAAGTGATTTAAAACAACTTTAACATATTAATGCTTATATAGAGATTACATATTCAGCAACCTCAACTGTATAAAATATTAAAAACTTAGAATTTAAAAAATCTAGGCCTCTGAGAGACTAAAACACATGTAATAAACTTCATGTATAAAACATGAACATTCTACCCATAAATCAGTCTCCCATGAATTCATCATTTCCTGGCTTTATAGACTGTTTTATCTAAAATACCAGCACCCGGTTATCTAGCTGTTTAGTTCACATATAACTTAACAGCCACAGATCAGAAGACAGTAGTGTAAGGTGACTGCAACACAGAAGAATAACAGCTAATAAAAAAGGAAAAAATGAGAAATAAAACAGCAAAAACAGCTGTGCAAAAGAAAAAAAAAGTGAAGGTCAATGTTCTTGTCCTTTCTGATTTCAAAAGACTTTGTAAACTACTGTAATGAAGACACTTTTAGTAAAGAAATTAGAAAAATGCAACAAAAGAACAGAATAGAGGCCAGAAATATATTTTTAAAAATATATATTTTGTATATATCTGAATATATATTAAAAATTTAGTTAACATAATGGGGGCTTCAAATCAGTGAGAAAAGAACAGGTTACACAACAAAATAGGTTTGGGTCAAAATTGGTCGTCCATTTGGAATAATTCTAAATAAAGTTAAGGAAATAATATTAGAAAACATTAGGAAAAAAATAAAAGGATTGACATAACTTTACAGAGGAAAGGCCTCCTCAAATACTATACAAAACACAATAACCATAAAGAGGAATGATGTGTACTCTCGCCAAATGAAAAATTTCCATACCATAAGATAAGCAAAGTTAAAAAGTAGCAGCAGACAGGGGGAAAAACAAATACATATATGCAACACTTAAAATAAAGGATTCATATACAAAATGCTTTCTTTTTCTTTTTAGAGAGAGAGATTTTTACTATGGGGCGTGTGTGCTCACTGGAGAGACAGAAAGCGAGAGGGGCTGGCCATGCTGCAATCCCTTCTCCTCCATTCTCCTCTTTGGATCTTGGGCATGCGGGCACATGTGCTCAGCGTGAGTTTTAAGTCACTGGGTCCAGGACTTGAACTGTTAGTCAACCATGTGGGAGTTCAGCGACTTAACCATTAAGCCATCTGCTGCTCCCACAAAATACATTTTTAAAAATTCTTACAAATCAGTATTAAAAAGGTATTTGATTCCATGGGGAAAATGGACAAATTCATAGAAAAAGAAATACAAATAGCCAATGAACAAATGAAAGAAGGCTCAACATTCCAGATATATAAATGACAACTTTAAAAAGATGAAACAAAAATGTTCAACCATCAGATTGGAAACAATTATAACAATTATAAAATAGTGATATTTTGGGGAATGGTGAGGATAAATTAACTCTTTCACAACCTATCTATGTAAATATGAATTTAAAAAGTCTTTCAGGAAGACAATTTGGCAGCAGCTACCAAAATTTTTAGTGTGTTCAAACCCATGTGTAAGAATTATACTCTATAGAAGGAATTATACTCTACAGGAATCTCTGCATAAGTGGATGTGTGTATTTGAACAGATGTTCAAGCACCATCATCTTTTTTTGTTTGTTTGTTTTTTAGAGAAGTGTTTTACTATAGGGCGCGTGCACTCACCAGACAGACAGAGACAGAGACAGAAAGCGAGAAATCACCACCTGGGGGGGTGGCCATGCAGCAATCTCTTCTCCTCCATTCTTCTCTCGGGATCTTGGGCACTCAAGCACACGCGCCTGGCGTGAGTTTTAAGCCACCGGGTCCGGGACGCAAACCACGGTCGACTACATGGGAGTCCAGTGACATAGCCATTACGCTAACTACTAGTCCTGAGCACCATCATCTTTAATAATGACAAAGGAAACCAACTGATGTCCAACAAGAGGGGACTGAATAATACTGCCGTCATTTAAAGTAACAATACACGTACAACCTGGAATGAATGAAACACAGCACCTCTTTGACCAACAGAGCCCCTGCACATTGTCAATCGCTCATTCCAAAATCAGAGGACCCAATATCCACCCAGACAATCCTCATCCTCAACAAAGCAACCCCATTAAATCCATGAACATTTGCAGCCTTGACCAGAAAGGCACCTGCAGATATCACTGAAAATAGATTTAGGTAAAGAAAATATACAGAGACTACTAGACTACTACTGCACCTGACCAGAGGTAATGTAAGAGCACTCCCCTCAACTAACACCACAGGACAGATCTATAGGAACAAGTTCCTTGTTAGGAAAGCCACTCCATAAAACTGGAAAAGGGGAATGCTCCACAAGATGCTCAGATATCAGAGACACAAGAAACAAGGAAATATAACTCATCCAAGAAATAAGGAAGTATAACTCATACAATAGAATAATTCTCCAGTACCAGACTACAACAGAAAGGAAACAGAAGAAATGTCTGAAAAGAAATTCAAATTAACGATCTTAAACTCAAGATGATGCAAGAGAATTCAGATAAAGAATTCAATGAAACAAAGAAAACAATCCACAATGTGAATGAGAGGTTCAACAGAGATATATACCATAAATAAGAATGAAAGCAATCCTGAAGATAAAATTTCAATAAATGAAATAAAAACAGAATCAAGAGCATAAACAACAGGCAAAATCAAGCAGCAGAAAGAATGTCAAAATTTGAAGAGTGAGCTTTTGAAATAACCCAATTAGACAAAAAGAAAAGAGAATAAAGAATGTAGAAAGGCTATATGACTCATGGAACACCAGAACCACAAGGTTATCAACTACTGAGTTGTCAGAAAAGTCATGACACACTTTTTGCATAGAAAAATATGTCATGACTTT